AATTTACTACAGCGTTACCATCTTAATAACATATGTTTCACTTTGCCTCTTCAATATTTCCCGCATACAGGTCCCAAACCCGGTCCGCCACGCAATCTAACCGTCACGGAGGTGTCCAATGGTTTTCTGATCTCATGGCAGGCGCCACTGGAACGCGCACACATCGTCAAATTCTACACGATCAAGTATCGCACCGACGCCCAGTGGAAGACGCTGAATCGCGGCCAAATACGGCCCGAGGAGACACAGTATTTAGTTAAGAATTTAGTCGGCGGTCGTACGTATTATTTTCGCGTCTTAGCTAATTCGGAAAAATCCTACGAGTCCAGCGATGAAGTGAAATTTCCGGTGCCGGCACGTGTCAAGCATAAAGCAATAACAGCCGGTGTCGTTGGGGGCATCCTGTTTTTTATTGTTGCGATCATTTTATCGGTTTGTGCCGTAAAAATTTGCAATAAACGTAAACGACGAAAACAGGAAAAAGGTAAAAAACTGCAACTACCAGTGAAGCAAGTGTAAAGCGAATGCACAAACGTTAAAAACAAAAACAAAATTAAAATTAACACGAAATGGTTTTTGATGATGACCAGCAATATGGAACGCACGAGCGCCAACGCGCCCACGTTTTGTGCTGTGTGTCGTGCCAGTTGCGCGCAGCATGTGGACAAAATGGCGGCGCAGCCAACAGCCGCGCCAAGCACGCCAGCGCCGGCGACAACCCCGCGCGCCCTTGGCGTTGTTGGCGCGGATTCTGTCCGCGCTGCGGCAGCCATGCGGCCCATAAAACGCTGCGCTCCACTGTGCCACCGGATGCGCTGCGTTCCTGTGCTGGTCTCAGCTCAGCGAGTACTTTATAACGCTAAATAAATATATATATATATATATTTTTAAATAGATATATATACGTAAATGTTTTTTGTGAGATTCAATTAAAATTTTTATTGCGTATTAATTTCCAAGAGGGCCTACCCACATTAATGTATGAAATTAACTTTTTGCGTAAATTTGCCAATTAATATTTCCACTTTATCGCTTAATTAAATTTTAAAGCTAATTATTATGATTTCGATAAATAAAAAAGATAACAACAAGAACAAAAAAAAAACACAATTTATAACCCCTTAAAATGTAGCGCTTTATAACAGTAACACTTTCTTTTATGTATATTTGAATATGTAGTTTTCGTTTTGTAAAGTACTGGAAATAAATTTAAACTCACTTTTTGTGTTCCAATAGTTTGACGTTGGCAAAAAACGCTAGCGTTACATAATACGAACAGTTCATGCAGGAATTACCGCTGATTAGTTAATTATAATTGCGTGCAACCAGAAATGATACGTGACTGATTTCGACTTTTGCTTAATTAAGAACACARTTATATATATATATATCGATGAAATCTTTTGCCTTTTTTGAAGCATTAATTGGCTTAAACAACAAGTAAATATACTCAAACTAATAATTAATGAGTACAAAATTTGATTATTTTCGATTTTTATTAACCAATATCATTTTGTACGCCATTTTGCTTTTGTTGTTAATATTATTCTGTATAATTATAATTATTTTTTGCTTTAAACACACATTCCGACAGCCTGTACTTGAATTAGAATAATTTCAGCAATTTAATTTATTAAGCTTCTAATTGATCTTATTAAATCTCAATGGAATATTTTTTTTTAATTATTACATTATTTAATTATTATTTGAATTTATTAATTTATTGTAAGTAGAGTGTGTAACCCAGTAGATATTAATCTCACTGCAGTCAAAACAACTAGTTACGAACTAGCGTATAACTATTAGCAACCGTAACTAGTCAGCCAATTGTGAGCTTTCCATGTAAGTAACTGATAGTTTAACGTATAATTGCCAAATATCGGTGAAAAACAAACCAGTTTGTAACTAGTTCGAAGCAGATGTACAACTATTTGCGTTACGATAGCTTATACCAGCTGATTTTCAGASCATACATTGGCCTAGAGTTCATTTCTAATACCAGATGGCTTTTTKTATTTAATGCAAGCTGAAGTGTATGGAGTGCAGAACGTCAATGAATTTTGCGAAGTTTTGATATTTAATTCAGATACTTCCTCCAGCCCATTGAAATGTGGAACTCCCATATATCGAAGCTGTGTTCTAGATATGACATTGGCTCGCATTTGTCTCTTGAACGGTCCCTTGGACTATGAAACTTCCAGATATCGAAGGATATCGAAGCTGTGTTCTAGATATGTCATCGTTAATAGTGGCCGTACGGCTCGCATGTGACGCTAGTAAGTTGTGAGCTGTGACTAGACCAACCAGCGCCCCGCAGCCTTTTTGAGCTTTAGTATATTCTTACAACTTACACATGATCTTTTCGTGACCTCGTGAAATTTCACTGCATATGTGATGTCAGAAAGATATGACCCGTGACTAGCCTTTTCGAGCTCGCGTATTTTCTTTTGGCTTCCTTACACATGTTCTTCTTTATCCTGTAAGCCTCAAAGGCATTCCACCTCGCCTTGATTCATCTGTCAGCCCTTTCAGAAGTTTCACTGTATACAGCTTTTAGTAACAGTCAGACTRCTRGCACTTTTGGCAATCTCATCAGCTATGGCCTGGAATACAGTACATGTATATGCAGCCGCCTTCCCGCAGGCAGTATATCTATTGCCTTCCTACTTTTTAGGACAGTCTTTGACGAAATGCGATATGAGATTATTGCTTCGACGTATACATTGATATTATTTACGCCATTTCCTGGGTTGATGGCTATTTCAGCAGTTTTGCTGATTGCAAAGACTTCCGCATTCMATTTCGCCGACGCCCACTCCATCAAACATTTTTAATGCGTCCGTATATAAGTTAGGAGATCCGCTGATGGTTCGTGTGCATCTCCGCCATTCATTTTGTTTTTTTAGTGAGACGTGAAACCTTCTCTTCCATTATTTAGAAGGCAGCGTGCCGCTGTATTTGCTCCAGTGGTTTCAATTACGAGATTGTACTGGCAGCTGTCCACCATACAGTAAGACTGACTTGACTACTAGTATGTAGCAGCAATACATACAGGTGTTAGGCCCCTAAATATCTTCTTCCTAGATACTTTGCTGTCAAAAATTACTTCCAGGTACTTGGTTTGATGATTAGTAGTTACCTTTGATCATGGAGGGTTTCCATGACTGGGTTTTGTACTGCTTGTAAAGAGTACCATATCCGTCTTACCGGCATTTATCTCTAGATTATCCGATATCCTTCATTTGTGTATGAATTTAGAGCGCTTTTCACCATGTTGTCTGGATAGGTTATCAATTTAGGCACTCTAYCTTCAAATTCCCAGAAGCTATTTTGCTACAAGTGACCACAGGAGAGGCGACAGTACATCCCCCTGARGAATTGCACGCACTCACGCACTGCTTGACGGCATCTTAATTAGGATTTTCTTCAAGWGTTCTGTGTTTTCGTTGAGAAACATTTTTCTTTGGGGAAACTGTGCTCTTTTCAACTTACTTTTTATAAAAATGCTTATAAGTGTGCTACTTTTCTAACTAGTTCATTTTAGTCAAGTAAGAACCCTGACTAGATATGCGACTCAAATAGACACAAGAGTCGCTGATGAAAACGTGCACTCAATTAAGTCAGAGGTTCAAATGAAACGGGCCTTATCACACCAAACAAAAACGGTTCTAAATTTCGTAGAAATATCTTAATTACTCAAAATCTTACGCTTCGCAACCAAATCCATAATTAAATACAGTTCGGAGCCAATTATCACGTACAAAGCAGTTATGCACTATATTTTAAAATACTCCAAGTAATATTAATCCACAATAAAATAGGAAATTATTGCACTACGCATTATTTGATATCCGCGTTTCGCTTTAGAAATGTCAGTTACAATTGCCTTCATGCGAAATTCACATTTAAATTGCAGCGAAACGTAATTCCCAAAAAAAAAAGCGAAAATAAAAATTATAACGGTAATAATAAAGGAGTRGAACACAAAATGAGCGCTTTCAATGCAAAATCAAATGCAATCAGCAATGAAATACGTGATTCTGCCGCTTTGCTGTTGAATTAAATTTTATTCGACAGCTGAACGCAAACCGCAGCGGAGTTGTCACCGCCACTCAATCGAGCGCCACACAACAAAAACAACAACAATGYGCGCACTTATTTCGTTATTTTTTTGTGGCCAACAAACCGCCAAACAATTTAAATGCGCGAGTTCGAAATATGCGACCGCACTGTCCTCACTGGAATTTCACAGCTCGCGTCTAAGCGTTCTCACTTTGGCCGTTTTGCTATAATTGAAATCAGCACGCTGCAGCCGAGAGTCATGCATATAATGTACTCTTTTATGCGTATTAAATGTGGTTTAAAAATGCATTTTGCATTTAACGGTATTTTGGTATTTAATGACTAAATGATTGTGAAAATGCAATGAGTTAGGAATACTAATACGACATGGCAACATTGATGGCATAACTAACTAACGAAGTCAGCAACCAATTTTTGGTAAAAAATTGAGTGTGATTCTGAATTTTATGGGTGAGCTTTGCTCTGCTTCGAATTTATGGAATCTTAGTGACCCTTGTTTGGTTAAAAAACATGATTTGCACGCATTTAGTTTTCAGAAATTCCTTTATTACCGAAAACTAACGAAAAGAACATGCCACATTTTTATTATTATTGTATATGTCGTCATAGACATTTTTGGATGAGCTAACATACYGAATCTATCCCAACCATAGAAATTTGATTTTTGTGATTTTCTTCAACCGAAGTAAAGCTTTTAAGGTTTTTCCCCCTCAAGCAGCAAATTTGACAGAAAATTAAAAATTTTAAATTGTTTCCGTTGAAGACCGCAATAAAAGTTTGCGCTCAATGTACTACTTTGTATTATCTAGCCTTACAGGAGAGAAGTGAGGGAAAGTGATTAGCTTAACTTTCAATTTTACCGTATTTCCTGAAACCTAACTTTGACGCTTATTTCAGTATAGCTTATACTACATACTTATTGGCTTTATACGCTAAGACGCTAAAGTTTCCAGCACTTTAGAATATTTTTATTCCGTAGTTCTTAATTTACGTTTTTAAAAGCGGTTCTTTTATAAAACAACCCTTACCGAACCAGTGGAAAATATTAATTTATATTCATGCATAGTTAAAGTGCGGATTCCATAGAAGATCAGAACCACCAAATTTTTTGCTATGCACGGCCTTTGCGGCAGTATGTCATCATCGAAAAAGTACCGTCTTAAGCCCGTGGAGGCCTATCTGCTTGCTGGGCATCTGGTAAATATTTATGCTAAACAAGTGTAGTGTAAATGAGATAATGCTTATGGGCAGCTGGCTGAAGATTTTAGGCCAGTGGAGTCAGACAAGAATGGTATCATACTCGAYGGTGATCCATGAGAAAGTAAACACAAGGTTTCTATTTCCCAATAGAGAAGAATGTACCAATAGCTCGTTAATCTACAGTTCCAAMCAAGCCAAGCGGCAATTAAAGTTATGCAAGTAAGCAATACCTAACTAAGTGGATGTACCACTTAGTTGCTTCAGTGTAGTGTTGGCGGTGAATTATATTTCTAGGTAAAGGGAGCTTAGGAACATTGAACAAAAAATAGGAAAAGTAGAGTTGGCAGAAGGCAGCCTGCAGGTGAATGAGACGGAACATGTACCACGACTCTCAATACTCCAAAGTAAAAGGCAGCTAGGGTAGAAAAGACGAGTTTCTTTTACCAAATCCACTGAGCTACTGGATAAGACTTAATTTAGTTACCACTCGAGAGCACAATGGGCCTAATGCTGGTCTAACTGCGGCTGCCAGCGGTGTAGCGCCCCCAACCAACCAAAGGTTATGTTTATTATTAGATGATCTATCTTTATTAACTTTAGGTTTAGAAAAACCCTCTTTTCTTTCTACATTTAAGCTTTTCCATCGAATTACGCAGCCTTCYCATATTTTAGATATGTTTTTGGTTCTCAAAAATTACTACGACAGGTTTTACATCCTGTCGGAGACTGATTTTTAATGTTATTTTTAGAAAACATACTAAAAAGGTATGCTCTCCTTACTTTACATAGAAGTAGATCGCGGTTTAAGAACTGTTGAGAGAGTACTTAACAGGATGACGCACAGCGCTTCGTTAATACTTTTCACACTCYCTCACAGTATTCTAAATAGCAAAATAATAGCAAATGTCTGATATCTAACTTTTTATGGAATATATAGATAATTAACTATGTGTGCGGACTGTATTAGATTATTGAAAATATTTGCTGAAATATTAAACTCAGTTATGTTCGATTTTTATATATCTTTTGTATTTATAGCTGCTTTTGTTGGGTATTCTGTTGAAATTTTGATTTTTTCGGTTATGTTAACTTTGCTTTTTTTCTTTCAAATTATACGAAAAACTACTAAAAACATACAATTACAATAACACAAACCAAGTAGCGTGTAAATACTTTGCAATACATACATGTAACTATGTAAGTACTATAGCTGAATTAAAGAAATCGCACGCGTACTTAAAACAAAAGTCAAGACTCAAACACAGAAAGCATGGCTTGGCGGTCAGAGCAAACTCAAAATACTCTTTTTTTGGCAGGCTTTATTACCTGAGTACAAAAAAAAAAAAAAAACAAAAAAAAATGTACAAAACATTGAATGAAATGTTGAAATCACCTTTACCCGAATTATTGAGGCGTGTTCTTAGTTTCCTCGTCGTTGTTTCTGCCCAGAACTAAGTTCATTGCCGGTAAAGGTGCCTGAGCGAAATGGGCAGACGTTTTTTGTAAACAATTCACGCACAAAGGTGGTAAAATCAAGGCCCAAACGACATCTGATAGAAATGATCGCGTCGTACAATAAATTCAAAACTCAACTAAAATATTTGCATGCAATTTCCAACTCACTTGAGTCACACAAATTAAACGTTTTTTATCATTCAATATTGCTGCAATTTGCTCGAAACGAACCAAACAGTTTTGCAATTTTGAAATAAATATTCAGCACATTTCGATAAACTTTACATACACTTCGGATAACAGGCGCTCATGCAGTACATGAGGCCTCGGTTCTCACCTTTGCCCGCAATGTCTTAAGTGAACGTAATTAATTTTGGAGAGCCTCCGAGGAGTATGTAATTTAAGATCTGAAATTGCCGAATTCTGTTTGGCAACCTAAAACCTTTCAAATACAATAAAATTCAATGAGAGCGAACGCGCTAAAGAAAGAGACGRTCAGTATCGATAGGAGAATTGCGCAATGCGAGACTGCTAGGTGTGAGCATCGAGCTTTTAAGGTCAGTTTTTGATACAACACGTTCAACCACATGAGTGGCCACTGAGCACATTCGGGCAAGCAAAGTCACCAAAAAAACAGAAAAGAAAGAAAGAAATGAAAACACACAAAGCCAAAGCTGGATTTTACAACAAACAAACAAAGAGAATGTCAAGCTAAGTACAAGTGTTCTGTGAATGGGGTAAGTTTTAACATTTAGTTGAATTTCGTGTGTCAATGTGTGCTGCTTGTTTAAGTCTTTTCCCTTCAAATCGCCAGCGACGCAAAGCGCGCTTTATATGACTTATGTACACATATTTTTCATAAAAATAAATTTCTTCCACAAACTATTTTGCAGCAAAAGAAAAAAAGCAAATGGTGATGAAAAAACGGTCACGACTCGCCGCACAGCGCCTTGAATTGGAAAAGCGTTGAGAAATTGCGAACCAAAAAATAACAAAAAAGARAGAATCACAGATTTCTTTTGACTTAGTTTAGAAGAGCACAATCATCATAGCACTCTTACATTAAACTTGCGCCATTTTTACAAACTCACACACACACACTCACGCATACTCGTATATATGCGTTTGTCATAGCTCATGCATCACATACTAGTACATTGAAGATTACACACACGTACAACTGCCGTAAATTGTCATGATTTCTATTGCATTTTACTTTCCTTTACTTCTACTTTGAAATGATTGCTTTACGAATTTCCTTTCATCAGATTTAGATTATTGTGTTTATTTCCTTCAAATAGACGCGCACTCGACTGAAAGCTGTAACTAAAAATTCCTTTTATAATTTYCAATTCTACTTAAAATGCTCACGAAGCTTTAAAGCTGCCATATTTTGCACAACGACAGCATAACTTAGATATGTACTGTAAACAGCTACAGAGCTTTGGGTTTCAAAAAAGCTTTATAAAATAAATTTCAAAAATAAATGAGCTTTTGAAAAAGCTCTAAAGCTTGAAAAAAGCTTTCGTAATTAATAAAATAAAAAACTGTAAACAGCTGTACATATGAAATAATCGACAAAGCGAGTCTTTAAAATTTTACACTCCAAAAATCTTTTAGAAAGCCCTTCTAACCTGTGGAARTTCAGCTCAAACCAGTGTTTTGTGATTTTCATTGAAGAACTGTTACGCCTCTTGGCATGCAGAAATTTGATAAATTGCCAAACAAACTTGTAAATAAGCTTTCCAAAAAGCTTGCGAAAAGCTGGAAAGCTTACCTACTTTGTTGCGAATTCAAAAACCTTTTTTTTTTTTTGTGATATGCAAGAACTGATGTGCCTCTGCACATAAATTAATTTCAAAAAGATTCATATGAAATTACCTTTTCAAAAATACTAAAAAAGCATATAAAATTATGTAATCAAAAAGAAGAAAGCTTCAATATGAATTGCTGAACGAAAACATATATTTATATGGTAGCCACCAAAAGTATAATATTATATAACATCTATAGCTTCAGAACKGACCAAASCTTTATCAAACAYGAAAGCTTTCGATCACAGGCCGCTSTAMTTGCTTTCTAGCTCAAGCTTCTAGATAAAACTTAACAATCGCGCTCTCCAAATTGCTTTCTAGCTCAAGCTTCTAGATAAAACTTAACAATCGCGCTCTCCAAAGCTGCACGTAATTAATTTTTTATCATTGTAGCAAAATATAAGTAGAAGCTTTAAAGCTTTAGCAAGAAGCCAACATTTTTCAAATCGTTTTCTAACATCAAAAACCGTTTCACCACTTTTTTTTTAATCACCTTGTACAAACCGATCCTAAGTTGAAATAAATCCATTATTAGTGTCTYCATATATGTATACCACACTTGCATACCTATGTATAACTAACCAATTTTTATGTATGTATGTATATGTGTATTATTCTCTTGCTGTCGTCTTTTTCGGTGTTCAATGTGCGTGCTTGCGTGCGTGTGTGTGCATTTCATGTGCGTTGTACTCCCCCCATAGTGATGATTAGTGGCACGCTCAAGAATGTGCCTAACAAGTGTTTAAAATAGAGTGTAAACAATTTAAGCTTTTATCTGAAAATGACATTTTAAGGGAGCCTTAAGGCAAGCTTTCAACTAAAAATGAAAATTTAGTGGAAGCTTGATGACAGCTTTAGTATAAAAATGAAAGCTTTAAAAAAGCTTTAGTTTAAAAGTGAAAGCTTTATGAAAGCTTTAGTATAAAAGTAAAAGCTTGATGCAAGCTCTAGTAAAAAAATTAAGACTTTAGTATAAAAGTGAAAGCTTGATGAAAGCTCCTTATCTACATAGCTGTATACATATTAGCCGAAATAGCATAATTTTAAACTTTTTGAATAGTATGCGCAATTGTAAAGTGTAAACTCCCACACAAAATTAGTTTGTACGCTAAAGAATTGGCACGTCCCAACATAACAGGTTGATATAAGAAATGTCAACATACATAAATTAGTTATACATTAGTTGATACTTATAAAGAACGCTTCACATCTAACCGCTTATAAATCTATATTTCATTAGAACGAGTATATATGTACACATATTCATATTCATTTACTGCATATGATATATTTCTCTTTTTGGTGTCTGTTATTTACTTACTTTCGTTAACCCATTATTATGCGATAAATTTTGTTATGATTTTGTGCTCATAATTATTATTTTCGCCTCATTAAAATCACATTTGGAATGTGAAATAAGATTAAATACATATAATATATTATATAAGTATACATACAGTACTAATGCTAATGTCTTTCGAATACGAATTATTCAWCAAAATGCGTAAAATTCTGGTTCTACATTGGCTTAAAATCGTTATTCGTGGTGGAGAGTGTAACTCATATGTCTTATGCATAATACGCTAATTACTCATTTAACACCTTAGAAGCTTCGGCATAACACATTCTATACATATATGTACATATGTATGTAATTGCATTTGTATGTATGTCTGTATATGTGTATGTAGTTGTATGTGGATTATTTTAGCGACTAAGGAACGGTCAATACTCCACCAAAATTAATTGTAGAAATCATTCGTTTGCAGAGTTCAATATGGTAGCTTGCCGGATAACGGATGCCCGTAATATAGCGGCGAATAATCATCATTTGCAACACCATCAGCAGCAGCAGCAGCAACAACAGCAACAGCACACGCAATTGCATCAACAACACCAACACCATCAACTACAACATAACTTGCACAGCCGCAGTACGGGCTCGCTTTCCGCTGGTCAAGTGCCTTTAAAAAAGTAAGTATCCCCGAGAGAGGATTTTAAGGGTTTGAGGGGTTGGGGGATGTGAAGACAGTATACACTCAAACATATATATACACACATWTAATTAGAAAAAACGAAGTATTGACATTAATTATAAGGGGCTCAGTGAAAAGCATTCATCCATATATGGGATGGTAAGAATACAAAATAAATTGGTATTTATACCCTGAGCAGGGTATATTGAGTTTGTAACAGCAATCTTCGGAAAAATGGTCAGATCAGATAGCTGTAGCATATAGCTAACAAGTTCATAGAAAAAATTTTCAATATTCGAAAAAATTTTCAATCTTCGAAAAAAAAATTTGCAATCTGCGAAAAACAAAGTTCAGATGAGATAACTATAGCATATAGATGCCATATAAATTGTACGTTTGGAGTCAAGCTCTTCGAAAAAATTATACAATCTTCGAAAAAAATTTCAATCTTTGAAAAAAAGTTCAGATGAGATAACTATAGCATATAGCTGGCATCTAAGTTTAACATTTAGAGTGAAGTTCTTCAGGATAWTTGTGTAATCTTCGAAACAAAATTTTAATTTTCGAAAATATTGTTCAGATTTATTGACCATAGCTGTCATACAAATTTAAAGTTTCGAGTCAAGTTCCTCGAAAAAATTGTGCAATATTCGAAAAAAATTTCAATCTACGAAAAAAAAATTTCAGATCAGATAATTATAAATAGCATAAAGCTGTAATACAAATTTAACGTTTCGAGCCAAGTTTTTCGAAATAGGGCAAACTTCCAAAAATTGTGCAATCTTCGAAAAAAAAATTTCAGATCAGATACAAAAATTTGCAATGTTCGAAAAATGGCTCAGATCAGATAACTAATATAGAAGTTTAAGGGTTAGATTCTCCAAAAAAATTTCGCAATTTTYGAAAAAATTGTTCATATCTGATAATTATAAAATATAGCTGTCATACAAGTTGAATGTTTGGAGTCAAGTTCTTGTAAGGTGTCTTTTGTATTTAAGAAAGGAATTATAGCTTCAGTACATACAACCGAAAAATTATGAAATCTTTCGATACTTCTTACCATTGAGTTCCTAGCCTATAGAAAACAAGTTCACCACATAATGCAACAACGCTTCTTTCACATATCAAACACACCACATACACGTCTATATAATTTAAAACCAAATTCTTTTAACAAAAGCAATATTTTAATAACATAAAAAATGCAAAACAAATCTGTTTTATATAAGAAAAAAATGTCTCAGTTAATAAAATTAATGTTTTTCTCTTTCTTCATAAAAACCCAATGCCTATATAAAACATCGTTYATGCCAAAATCACRCAAAAAATATATCACTTCACATTAACTTTCAACACAATTGAAAACCACCATCGGCAATTCGTATACACGCGTGAAAAAAATTTAAACAAAAAGCAACACTGAGCATTTTCGTGATTATGAAACCGTTTTTATAGTTCCAGGTCCATCATGCCATAGTCAAAATCGTAAGAGAATTTATGCATTTTAAACTTAAATATTCACTAGCAAATTTAATTGTTTATTAGAAGTCTTTGTTTAAACAAATGCCTGTTTTTTTTGAGATTTTTTCGACTTAACGGTAAAAGCTTTATTTCGTTTGAAATGTATTGGCTTAAAAAGTTCTGTATTTTATGAAAATCAGAGTTTTTTTTTTTTTTTTTGGTCTTTTGTTTCCCAAATTCGATACATTTATGCTCCCTAGGCGCCTGAACCCAACTCAAATATTGTCACTTAGTGAACGTCCAATAATTTGTCTTTTTTTCTGTTAAAAAGTTTTGTAGTGTTAGGAGTTGGCACATATTTTGACGAATATGGCTTCCGCGACTTGTTCGAAGACGACTTTTTATCCATCACACTTTACTTTTGAAGTTTAAAACTTTGTGGTGTTAGGTTTTTGAGCAGATTTTGCCGTCTCTTTATCCAGCTTTTCCCAGAATAGCTGACCTAACCTTGTCACAATCCATATAAAGTTGGGTTTGTATACTGACTAATGTCTAGTAAAAGATATATTCACTACTTTTCGAGAYTGCTATATATACATTCATAGTCTGTCTTCGTCTGACCCCGTAAACTTGACAAATCCGTTTCTTAATATGATTCAAGCACCGCAGGTTCTATCCAACAAGATAACGATAAATGCCAAGCATATGCCTCTCTCTGAAGAAACTATGTATATAGCGTAAAACATTTTTTGTAGTTTTATATATTTTTTCTTTAAATATACTTCGAAGAACATTAGCTGATTAGATATTCCTCTWTCCGTTGTAATTTTTGGTGCGAGCTTTCGCAGCTGTTTTTCGTTTGACCCAAAACCTATTTGTTGTGTGYTTCCTAGTTGAACTTATCGATTGAGTATTTTCGTAGTTCTGAACGCATTTTCAGCATTCGTTTTTCATAGCTGAACATGTTGGCTGCGTGTCTGACATTTTTTAATTTTACTTCATTCTAGTTTTCCCATTTGTAGTAAATAACGGTAATTACATTTTGTTTTATCATGACCAGTATTTAATTACGTTTCGCTCATTATGGCATTTCATAAAGTTCATAATTATTTTTATTACAACAACAAACAAGCGTTCTAACATACCATTGTAAATATCTGTTGTCTTTTTTATGTAATTCGAATGCAATAATTTCTGGATTTTGAAGACCACAAGGTTTGCATTTACTGATTATGTATATCCATACCATATAATATTATATATGTATGTAAATATGCGTAACATAAACTTTTAAGCATGCTCACCAGTTTGCACTASCTTTCTTATTTGAGTTTGGCACGTAGATGGTATTTTTTCTTCTTTTTGCTGTAGAAGCTTTCTCTTAAAACATCCACATTAATTTATGCACTTTTTACGCTCTTCCCCGCACAGATTTAAACAAGCCCGAATATCAAGTCTAACCACGATACTAATTGCTATATTGCACTGGATTTGGCCGCCGGACCGCTGCACCAACTGCCACTCCATCTACAGTTCACCGCATGCCGAGGAGGAAGGTGCACGYGAYCGCCACTCCGTTAGTCAAATTCAACGGTCTGTCGACGGACGGTTCGTAATCTCGACCGCTAAGGCCGGCAGCAATGGCAAACTCAATGCGCTCACAAGTGGTGCGGACATGGAGGGCGTCGATGAGGTGGATACCGACACCGTACGTCGCAATAGCCACGCTTCGCAAAAATCTTCCAGTGACGATGGCGGCTTTCTGTCGCGTCGCAACTTTATTACGGCGCGTGCCTCCTGGCGTCGTCCATTGGTGGCCTCACCTTCGCAACTGAGCTTACAGTCAGCMGTCGGTTCAGCGCGTGGTTTCCTGCAGGGACTCGGTGGCCTACTTCGTGTTGGTAGCAATGCTGCGGTTGGTGGCAGTAGTAGTGGGCTCGCGGGTATTTCGGCAGCTGGCGCCGTGTCTGGGGTCGGTGAGGATGTGGCTGGCAATGTCGGCGCGCGTTATCAAAAYATCTACCGYGGRCAGTATGGACAAAACATCTACCGCAATTTGCAGTTGGCGCAACCGGCACAGCCCACCAGTCGTCCACTGCATATAAATACTCTAAGTAGCGGTTCATATCTTGGCAGTCATCARTACCACCAGCAGCATATGCATAGCCTRMACTTAACACCCAACTTGTACACACCGTCGCGTATATCACGCATATTTTCCAGCTCGCCAGCCAGCACGCCGAATGACACCTTAGGCAGCGGTACCCATCAGCATATTAGCGGTCTCGGCGACACTAGTGTTGGCGGTGGTGGCGGCTTACTCACTTCACCGTGGTCGCTGACGACACCTGGTAGCGGACATCTGCATCCGCATTTCAGCGATTTGAGCAGCGTGTATCCAAGCTCRGCCGAGCGTTCATTACCGACGCCATCAGCGACTAGTGGCAATCTCAGTCGTTATCGCTATTATGCGCACGAGCTGCCATCGCTGCGCACCATACAAGAGGAAACGCGACGCTACAACCAACAGCAACAAGAGGAGAAACAACAGCAGCAGCTGCAAACATCAGATGGCTTCGTACCACTACAAATACCGTCGCCACCATCATGGCGGAATTACTACCACTCCCAGCTACCATATCACAGTTACCGACCGCGTACACGCTGGTATCCACGTCACTACGCACGTCTATTTGGACGCACACAATCGGAGCTGATGTCGCCATTACCGCATCTGAATCTCACGCTACGCTCTGCGCCTGTAGGAGCTATGGGCTTGGAAGCTTCGCCAGAGTCGCGCTCCAGTTCAAGTGGTTTTGGCTCGAAGAACAACTCTAATCATCCACAAGGATCTCATCACTCGGGCAGCACGAGTGAATGGCGATTACTGCCGCCCTATCGTCCACCGCCACCCCCGCCAGCCAGTAACAGCGCTTACTTCGGCATCACAGCGCTGTCTGCACAGCAGCAGGCACAGGCACAAGCACCAACAAGCCATCATCACCAGCAATTGCACCACCCGCCCTTATTCGCTTCCAACTCACTGCCCTACTATGCGTCTTACAGCGRAGCAGCTGGTAGCGGCTTGCATCAGCAACAGCGGCAACAACATCGACCGACAACGCCACCCTACACCATGGAACACTGGCTTGGTATGATCTCAGACCTCGATGCGGCCACGGATAATGTAAATCTACCAAAGTCGGTAGATGTGGGCAGCGTCGATGGGCACTACGAATTCGACCCGGCCACCCCGACACCCAGCGCTTCCACACCCACCGGCGGCCTGCTACGCGATGATCTCAATTTGCACGTGGACACCACCGGCCATCACACGCTTGGTCCGCTCAGCAGTGGCAGCCTTTACCACAACGCTGTTAGCGCGACCACAGTCACTTCGGGTGCCGCCACATACGCCGGTCCTATGCGTAAGCAACGCTTCTCACGCTACGACAATGTGGAAGCGCGCTTGCAGGCGATGCGCGCCGAGTTCTACGAGTACCGCAAGCGACAAGCGATGCAGCAGGCGGGCGTGGCTGAACTGGAGAGTGTCTGCTGAGTTGAATCTTTGAAAATTGTGAGCGTATGTGTGTTAGTGTTGTAAGTAACGTGTGTCTAGTTAGCGATAAGTAGGGTTAGACTAAGTCGTCTAAAGTATAAAATCAAATGTAACTAATTTCCAGCYGAACAAAATGCAAACGAATGTTTTAATGCTGCCCAAMAAAAGTTATCGCAAAATTTAAGGAATTCTTAGAGACCGTGTGTGAAGCCTGTGCATTACTTAGCGACAGCGCTTAATCACTTATTTCATATTCTTAGTTATTTAGCAATAAATACACTACTGAACTACTGATGTCTGATGGCAATACTCCCGAATGCTGTTTTTCAAAATATAARTACAACTGCTCGTTTTCAAAGAGATTGATATGTAGAGAAAAAGCTCAAGTCGTACAATTAAATGTGTAGATCGCGGAAAACTTTAGMTGCAGCTTTCTGAGAAAAAAAACTCTGTTCGATGCTGTTAGAAACCACATTTTCTACTAAACAGCCTCTGAAAACGACTTGAGCGTCTTTTTAAAGCTCTTTTGAAAACCATTTCAGACAACTTTTGAGCTTTCTTGAAGTTTCTAAAAACTTTATATGAAAAGCTTTCGTCACACTCTCTTCCAGCTCTCTTCTCGTGGCTTCAAAAACCGTTATATGAGGAGCTTTCATCACACTCTCTTTTCGCTCTCTTCTTGTAGCTTCTAAAACCGTTATATGAAAAGCTTTCATCACATTCTCTTTTCTCTCTCTCTCTAAGATCAAATAAACTTGAACATTTCCCGTACATCGCGCACTAATCGAGTACTTAGAGTACAGTTGTGGGTAATTAATTAAAGATTACATTGAAATGACGAAACGCAAGTAACATTAGCGGCAGTTTTATGCTAAAACTAAGCAAATGATCCATGTAAATAGTAAACATTAAGTCCTATTTGTAGCAAAGTGAAAACAAAAAAAAAAAAAAAAACACAAAAACAAACCACAAAACATAAAACATTAAGGTAAACACGTATTGTAATGGTGAGACACTGAGTATCCAAAAATATAGCAATTGTAAAGATATATTACAGCAGTAATTAATTACTACATTTAATTACATTTAAATCAATTAAAACGACACTTTAAGTACGTTAACTTAAGCAGAACATTACTAACTTTAATAAAGCGTAAAAACTGAAATATAAATAATAAAAAAAACATAGTTATTATTAGCAAATGTATTTAAAAGAATAATGATTACCCGAAATCAGTTAAAAACTTGTTAAAATACTAAAAATAATTTAACCTGTTTAACTGAAGCAAAAATAATAATCGAAACGAAGTGAAAGTAACGGAAGCAAGTAAACGTTTAGAAACGCAGCCATTGAAGCGCGAGCAACGGAGCAAACACAAAAGTAAAGTAGAACAGTAACAACAAAAAACAACAACAAATACTTAACAAAATTGAAGTGAGTTTCCCTGTACTAACAAACAATGAATGGACATTACTAATTTGAAAGAAAAAAAAACACAAAAATCTAAACTTAAGTAGTTCAATATGTATTGAGGAAATTATGAAATAAACTAACGCCAAGTAATGCAAAAACACAAACAAATGTAAACTAACAAAAAAGAAAATAAAATTAAACATAAATTAAATAATAAAACACTTGAAGACGAAAGTAAAATACATTTATTATGACTAGTTAC